AAATGAAACCCTGGCCATCCTCAGGCCATGCTCCTTTGCTTTCATTTTTCACTGTGCTCTGTGGGACCCTCCCTTTTGGTTATTAAACTCATCTTCAGCTTAGGTCTCTTCCTCTCATTGATGTTTCATTCCCATGCTCACTCCTTAAGACTGCCTTCCTTTTCTTAATTCCTGACACATAGGGCAAGGAAGAGGAATTGGCATGAATCTTGTGGCCACTCTTCATCCTCCATCACTCAACAGAGACCTGGGAAAGACCTTAATTTCGAAAGGCCAAGGTCACCCATTGCATTTCAGGCCATCGTCTTGTCACTAGACTTCCATGATGGAGGCGGGAGTGAGGTTGAGGATTTTGGGCAGTTCTGCCTCACTTAAATTCAGTTCACTCACTAATCAAGCTATCACCCAGTGATGTCGTTGGTTCTCTTGAGAAAGAAGGACAAACAGCAACAACTACCTTTTCCCCCTTGTTAATTCACTGTATCCTGAATGCAGATTTTTATGGTTTTCACCTATGGAACTCTTGGTCATTCTTCCTCTTACTTAGTACCTTAGTGCCTGGCTCATAGTTTTCTTTACCCCAAACCCTGTCCCCTTGAATACCATGTTCTCCCAGTTCCTCATCCTTCTCAACTTTAGTGACCACTGTCCTCAGTCACACACAGGAATGGTCAGACCTTAGACACAGCTCCCCGTCTCATTCCTTCTCCTTTTATCTGAATTTTCTCAAATGGCCAGAATTCCTAATTATGGCATTAGTAATCTGACTGCTTGTCAAGGACATTATGAAGGGGGGGAGAGGGTCCTGCCAAATCAGGGACTACAAGCATCAGCTTTTCTCATTAATTAACCGGAAACCTCTAGGATTCCTTTCAACTCTCAGCATCTGAGTATCTCTGATGCTGGGGTGTTATCCAGCCCCAATCTCCCTGTCTCATCTACAGGCATATGAGAGAGCTTTTGCCTAATGCCTTGGGAAAGTCACATTGGCCCTCCTCGGACCTCAGCTTCCTCATCTGCAAAATGAGGAAGTTGAACTTATAAAATTTGTTGTTTTGTTTCCAGCCCATAGATTCTCCTTATCTGTGAAATATTTATTGTTCTGTGCCTAGCCCTAGGCTAGGTGCTAAGATGGAGGGGAGGGGAAGAGTCACACCAAAGATGACCACAGTGTAGTTCTTTGGGAGCTTTTAAGTCTTCTTCTGCTTGTTATGAAATTCTGTTTTAAATTTCCTTCTAGCTGAGTTATTTCAGTTGTCCAATAAAATTCGTTTCCCTAAGGAAGTAGTAATGGCCCCAGGGGCTTGCTTTGGTTTTGGCATTGAGGCAGATCAAGCCAGGAACACCAATACCTACTGAAACCACAGAAAAGACTGGAGCAGCAAGATTGTTGTTATTGTTGTTGTTTGTCCTTAGTTCTGGAATCAGGAGGGTGATGCCATGACTTGCAAGTGAATTGGATTTAAGTGAGGGAGGGCTGTGCAAAGTTACCAGCCTCATTTTCTCCTCTGGAGTCATCTGGATCCAGTGGCAAGATATCCAGAAGCAAGCAAGTGAACTCCCTAGATTCTATTCTTGATTCCCAAACTGCATTCCCAGTTTCCCTTGAGGCCAGAGTAGGGTGTTGGGGAGTGTGGGCGAAGCCCGAGGTGAAAGGTGGCTCCTTTGGAATCCTCTTGGAAAGGTAGGATTGGGAGGGCCTTAAATCTGGAAGAGTGATTATCCTTGGTTAAAGGGAATTTAGTTACCATTCTGGATTCTGAGCTGAAAAGGCACCTCAAATGTCATTTCATTTTACAGATGAGGAATTTGAGGCACCTAGATGTAAAATGACTTGCCTAAGGTCACATAGGTAGGAAGTAGCACTCTCATGTATAGTATTTTACAGTATACAAAGTACTTTCCTTATAGCAACCTCAGAGAGGGAGATCATGCAAGTTATTTTAAAACTCTTTCTTTTTATTGGTAAGGAAGTGGAGACCCAAGATCACACAGCTAGTCAATGTCAGGTCCAGGCACCAAAATCCAAAGCTTAAAAAGCATACACACACACACACACACACATAACATTGTCACTTCCCAATAAGTGGCACAAAACACATTGTAGCATTCCATATCCATATCATGCTCCTCTCTCAATGGAAGAGACTGGTTTGGAATCAAGATTGGTCATTGCAGGGGCAGCTAGGTGGCGCAATAGATGGAGCACCAGCCCTGGATTCAGGAGGACCTAAGTTCAAATACAGCCTCAGACACATAACACTTACTAGCTGTGTGACCCTGGGCAAGTCACTTAACCCCATTGCCTAGCCAAAAAAAAAAAAAAGATTGATCATTGCATTGATATGACTTTTGATGTGACTTATTGTTGTTGAACCCTAGTCCTGTGACTAGGGTTCAGTGTTTTTTTCACTGTTATCACTTGCTTTCTTAGGAAGACCTCAGGAATTACTTAGTCCAAAGTCCTTATTGACATTATGAAGTAGAAAAGATACTGGATTTGGAGATAAGGAGACTTAAGTTTGAATTCTGATGTTAGCTATGCAACTATTTGCATAGGGCAAGTCATTATACTTCTTGGGGCTTCAATATCTCCACCTTAAAATGGGGATAATAATACCATCATTGGATAGCTAGGTGGTACAGTGGATACAGTACCAGGCCTGGAGTCAGGAAGACCTGAGTTCAAATATGACTTCAGATACTTAGTAGCTGTGTGACCCTAGGCAAGTCACTTAACCCTGTTTCCCTCAGTTTCTTCATCTATAAAATGAGCGGGAGAAGGAAATGGTAAATCAGTCCAGTGTCTTTTCCATGTAAACCCCAAATGGGGTCACAAAGAGTTGGACATGACTGAAACAACTGAACAGCAACAAATACTATCACACTTTAAAGTAGTGTTGTAAGGAAAGTTGCTTTGTAAATCTTAAAGTGCTATATGGTGTGAATTATTGCTGCTATGGTATGTGACAGAGGAAAAAACAGAGCCTTGAGAGAAGGGACTTGCTTAAGCTCTCCTAAATAGCAGAGCTGATTCAAATGCAGACTGTCCAAATCCATTTTCTTTTTTTTTTATTTAAAATTTTTTTATTTTTAGGCAATTGGGGTTAAGTGTCTTGCCCAGGGTCACACAGCTATTAAGTGTCAAGTGTTTGGTCTGAGGCCGGATTTGAACTCAGGTCCTCCTGACTCCAGGCCTGGTACTCTATCCACTGCACCACCTCGCTGCCCTCAAATCCAGCATTCTTATCACTATATGACGCCACAGAATGCTCTAAATGTTATGTACTTCAAGGTTCTTTGAACTTCCAAGTCAGGCTTGGGCCAGTGAGTCAGGGGTCACTTGGACATCTCAGGCCCCTTGGAGACCACTCTGTCACTGATGGTATAGGCAGTGGCTACAGTTCTCCAATTCTAGAAGCCACAGAAAAGGAAGGATGAATGTGCCAAACTCTTCTTACTCAGAGGTTAACCTCCCTTGGGTGAGGGCTCATAGGCTCATAGAGCTAAAACTGGAAGGGATGTCAGAGGACATCTGGTCCAACCCCTTTATGTGACATATAGGAAAACCGAGGCCCAGGGAGACTAAGGACTTGTCCTAGGTAACATAGGTGGACATCATCAGGTGGAATTTAAACCCAAGTACTCTGACTACAAGGTGGGTGCTAATTCTGCTCTACCACATGGCCCCTACAGGACATACAAGTGGATCATTTCCACTGGTGGATAAAATGTTGCAGACTAGTCATTTTGCCTTGAGAACAAGGTGTCATCAGAGTAGGTAGGTTGGGGTAAAGTACATAAGGAATTAGGATTTCAGAGTTGAGATAGACCTCGGAGATCAACCTATGACTGAATAAGAATTCTCCTACCTTGCCCAGCATCCACGACTTCTAGCGATGAGGGAACCTGCTGTGTCCCAAGGCAGGCCATTCTACTTTGAGGCTACCTCTGTCTGTTACATTAATCCTTTTTGCAGCTCCTACTCACTGTTCATTGTTTTGCTTTCTGGGCCCACGCAGGACAAATCTAATCCTTAGTTCATAGGCTAGCTAGGTGGTCCTCTAGGTCCTCAAGTGTGGCCCTTTGACTGAATCCAAACTGTTCTGTGAAGTGGCCTCGAGGCTGCAGTTTCTCCACTGCTGGGCTAGACCCTGAAATACTTAAGACCTCTCCCAAGTTCCAACCACCCTTCCATCCCATCATACTCCCAAAGTCTTATGTTTTCTACACTAAAAGAGAAGACTGCTCTAGAGGGGAATACAGACTGGTAGCTCCATGCGCAGTTTTTGCAGTCTTTGCTTTGGAAGGGCTTTGGACTAGCAATTAAGGAACCTAGGTTCTAGCCCCAGCTTGGTTACCATCTTGTCGTGTTACCTTGGACAGGTAAAATGAGGGGGTTGTGTCTAGATTCTATTATTTCCTCATAGGTATGAGAGGGCTGGACATAGGGAGGTATGATTCACTCCAATTCTCCCTTTATGTATGATATATGTGTGTATTAAGGTTTAATGTACAATAATAATAATAATAATAATAATAGTAATAATATTAATAATAATAATAGCACTTGACATTTCTAGAGTGCTTTAATATTTTAAACATTTTTCCTTTCAACATTCCCCCATTTTATAGATGATCAAACTAAGGCTCCTTCTGGGAAACTGGCTGGTTGCCAGTGTAGATTGTGAGCCTCCCTCAGAAGTCAGCTGGGGGAGATAGCAGAAATGATACAAGAAGTCAGGACAGCTGTGCTGAGGTCTCACTTTGCTACTGGCTGTATGTGACCTTGGGTCTCATCTCTAAAATGATGACCATCAGTAAAGTCCTTTTTAGCTCTAAATCCTCTAGTCTCTAAACTAGGGGCAAGGAACCTATGGATTCAGTCAAAGGGCTGCACTTGAGGACCACATGTGGCCACACTAGAGGTTCCCCACCCCTACCTAAACTCTTTTCATCTCTAGCATTCTGTGGTTCTGACCAACTCTCTCTCTTTCCAGGTTCGGAAAATTGCCCCTGAGTATTATGACAACCTCCCCCAGCACCATTCCTGGATCCAGGTTCTCTGGGATTTTGTCTTCAAAGACACTATGGGGCCTGCCTCAAGGACAAAGAGGGTCTACAAGGAGGCCTTGAAAAGCTTCTAATCTACCTTCCATTCAACTGATAAGGCCAACTTGGGCCAGGTTCGGGGACCTAAATTGCTTGAAAAAATGGTTGGCCCAGAAGTCCTCAATATGAACTATAGAACATGAGTTGGTTATCTGAAATGGCCAAAATATTGGAATGTGTCCTTGTTAAAACAGAGCAGAAACAACAAACCCCACCTACGTCCGTTCTGCTTCCAGGAAGCTCCCATTATGATCTGAGCAAGGGCCCAGATCCTATGACCTGCTGAACTTTTTGCTTCAGTCCTGAGAAACAGGAGAGCAGGAAAAACATGATTTTCCCCTTTGCACTGATGTAAGGGCAAAAGAACTTTAGTTTTGAGTCAGGAGATCTGGGTTTGAGACCTGGCTTTCCTACTTTTACTGTGTTCTGGACCAGAGTTGGTCTGGGAGTGTTGGAGTAGGCAGATGATATTGAAGGTTCTTTCCAGTTCTAAATTCTGTGATCCAAGATCCTGAAGGTGGCAGGGAGGAGGAGGGATAGAACATTAACTTTGCTTAGGGGTGGTCTGGGGCTCCTTACTAAAGGACCCCAAGGGTGGTCCTTATACTGTTCTTGGGTTATTCATATTTTTCTGCATCATGCAAAATTTGGGTCCATGCAGAAGAACTGGTTCTTCAGCATTTTCATCCCCCCAGTGCCTTTTGGTTTCTTGTTTCTGAGCACGTGCCACAGCTGATCTCTAGGGCAGAAGACTAGTGCGGGAAGGGACCTTAGATTCATCCAGTACAGGATATCAGAGCCCCTGGAGGGGGAGGGGATGGGGAGCAGGGCTTAGAGATAATCTAGGTCTCACTTTTTCAGTGAAGAAACTGAGGCACAGAGAATTCCTGCAATAAACTCACTGTGCTGGCAGATTTGGTACTAGAATACCCCAAATCCCTTGCCAACTTTTTCTATTTTATCACATTGCTTCCTGGGAGTGTCATCATTTGAATAGGGGCATTTTTTTTTAAAGACTCCAAGTAATGAAGTTATAATGGCAATGTAACAGGCACTCAGTGGAAGAGGGAGAGACGTATTTGAGTCAGGGTGCCTTGTGCCTTCTTATATCATACCACTCCCTTACCCCTAACTTGTGGCCCCTAGGGCTGGTGGATGTGGCTCCACCTAGGTCATTCCTGGGTAGCTGGGTAGTCATAGACATCAGCCCACTTCTTGGGATAAAGGCTTCTTTGCACCCTAACCCCTGCAAATTGAGCCCCCTGACAAGTCAGTTTCTCTGTGAAGGAACATTGGGAAGGATCATTTTAAGTCCGGTGAAAGGTGATGTGGAAAGAGTTGGGTTCAGAGGCAGGAGTCGAGATTCCTGCCCTGCCACTAGAACTTTCTGCGACCTTGAACAAGTAATTTCCCCTCTCTGGGTCTCAAGCTTACTCGTCTATGAGATTAAGTGATCAGAATGGATGATCTCTAAGGCCCCTTTCAGCACTGATATTCTATAATTGTAGAGTTCCAGGGCTGCCTTAGGCATTCCCTTTCTATGATGACTAAAGTCTTTAAACTCTGATATTGACCAGCTTCATCTCTTTCTCCCAATATTGCCTAGGATTTCTAAACAGCCTATTATGATTTATAGCTGCCAGACAAAAGAAAGCACTTCTCCTTACTTGAAGACCAGCTGCTTAGAAGGGTCCATTGCCGGTGAAGGATTGCTCTTGAGTGGATCTGACTTCTGGTCAGCTTGGAGTCTGCTGGGATAAGGGGGCAGGAAAGTTGGCCTCCACTAGCATTATGAGACTTGAAACCTCTAATAGGTCTTAGCTCCTTATTGTCCTCTTCCCACACCACCAACAGTAGAGTGGCCACTGTGATGGCATAGGGAGCATGGGACCCCAAGGCTCAGAGACCTGTAAACCTGCGCCTTTGAGCCAACTTTTCCCCTTTGCTCCCCAAGGGATGCTGCTGTAACACCTGAGCACTGAAGGGGAGGGGCTTAAGTTGCTCCTTTTCTCAGCACCTAAAGAAATAGCTTTTGAGATAGAATTTGTATTCTTATAGACACATTCCAATCTTCCTGGTGACATGTCCCCAGTCATAAAAGGTCATTGTCTTCAGAGGCAAGGGACCTTGGTTTGATTCTCAGATCTGCCAGTAATATGCTGGGTGATTGTGAATGAGTCAATTTGAACCTCTTAACCTCGTTAATAAATTCCTTATAGCTCCAACATCCTACATTCCATGAGTCCAAGCTCCTTTTCAGTTTTGATATTTTGTGAGTCTAATGTTCTCTTTTATGTTTATATATCACTTTGTGCTTTTTTGGAGTTCATTCTCAGGGTCATCAGCCATGAAGAGATAGGGAAAATATCAACAAATTGACTCATGGGCCATTCCACTGGATACTTCGTCTGGCCTATGAGGCCCTTGACCAGAGCTGTCCTGTGAAAAACAAATGCAATAAATGTTTGAGACTCTTGTGTTTCTGAAAGTTATTTGAACTTAAAATAAAATGGAATAATTAAATCCAATCTTGGGCTTTCCATGTCTGTGGGATATGCTTATAAGGAGGGTGGGATGGGGAGGGAACGGCCTTGAGGCTTTGTTTCCAACCTAAGCTGAACAGTTATGGTGCTTGTGTCCTTCTCTGGGTCTAGACTCCCCCTTGTTCTCCTCCTACCCTACATTCCAGACTGGGGTGGGGCTACATATAAGAAGGGTTCTATTTAAGAATTTATTACTAATAAGACCATAAAAATCTAGAAGGAGGAAACCACACTTCTCCCCTTTGCCACCAAATGCAACTGGATGACCTGGTATTGATCCGACAGTCAGCCCATGACAGGAGAATCAGGAACATGCATTTGGATCGTTCTGCTTCCTTTTGATTGAACTCAAGAACAAGGTTCCATGCAGTTATCTGAGGATCCAAATTGGGCTCCACTCCTCTGAAGACTCAGTAATCCTCAGGCAGCTGCTGCAGACTTCCCTCACCGCCTTAGACGTTATCACCTCCTGTGTGAGGACAAGGTGAAGGAATTGGGGAGCTTGGAGGAGAGAAAACATCACGTGGAGGAGAGGTACAAACATCACTGTCTTTAAGTATTTGAAGGCTTGGTTGTCCTGTGGGAGGGGGATTAAAGTTGTTTTGCTTGAAGTCGGGGATAGAAGGTCCAGTTCAATATTCCAGCCCAGTGTAAGAAAGACAATTAGAGCCATCCAGCAATTGAATAGATTGTATCTTGAGACTGTGATTTCTGTCACTTGGAGGTGTTTAAACGTTGACTGAAATGTGTGTAGAGGGGTGCTCTTATATAAGGAAGGGGATGTATATTTAAATCTCCTTGCAGCTTTAACTTCCATTTTTTCATTTGAAGATCTCTTGCAGTTCAAACATTTCATATTCTAAGGTTTTTTTCCAGATCTTGCGTCCTATTTTTTAAAATTAATTAATTTATTTTTAGTTTTCAGCAATCAATTCCACAGGCTTTTGAGTTTTAAATATTTTCCCCTTTCCTCCCTCCCCAAAACAGCATGCAATCTGATATAGGCTCCACGTATACACTCCAATTAAACATATTTTCACATTAGTCATATTGTAAAGAAGAATTAGAACCAATAGGAGGAACCACAAGAAAGAAGAAACTAAACAAAACAGAAGAAGAAAAAAGAACAAATAGTATGCTTCCATCTGTATTCAAACTCTATAGTTCTTTATCTGGATGTGGATAGCATATTCCATCATGAGACTCTTGGAGATGTCTTAGATCCTTGCATTGCTGAGAAGAGCTAATTCTATCAGTTAGTCATTGTACAACATGGCTGTTACTGTGTATGATGTTCTCCTGGTTCTGCTCACTTCATTCAGCATTAATCCAGGTTTTTCTGAAGTCTGCTTGCTCATCATTTCTTATAGCACAATAGTATTCCATTACATTCACATACCACAACTTGTTCAGCCATTCCCCAATTGATGGGCCTCCCCTCAATTTTTAATTCTTTGCCACCACAGAAAGAGCTGCTATAAATATTTTTGTACATGTGGGTCCCTTTCCCATTTTTTTTTGTTTTGTCATTTTTTGCTAGGCAATGGATTAAATAACTTGCCCAGGGTCACACAGCTAGTAAGTGTCAAGTGTCTGAGGCCGAATTTGAACTCAGGTCCTTCTAACTCCAGGGCCAGTGCTCTATCCATTACGCCACCTTGCTGCCCCCCCCTTTTCTATCCTTTTTCCATTTGTATGATATCTTTGGGTTACAGCCCTAGAAGTGCTATTGCTGGGTCAAAAGGTATGCACATTTTTATAGCCCTTTGGACATAGTTCCAAATTGCTCTCTGAAACGGTTGGATCAGTTCACAAGTCCACCAATTGCATTAGTGTTCCAATTTTCCCACATCTTCTCCAACATTTATCATTTTCCTGTTTTGTCATGTTAGCCAATCTGGTAGGTGTGATGTGGTATCTCAGAGCTGTTTTGATTTGCATTTCTCTAATCAATAATGATTTAGAGCATTTTTCTTTTCTTTTTTTTTTTTTTTTTGGCTAGGCAATGGGGTTAAGTGACTTGCCCAGGGTCACACAGCTAATAAGTGGTATGTGTCTGAGGCCGGATTTGAACTCAGGTCCTGCTGAATCCAGGGCCAGTGCTCTATCCATTGTGCTACCTACCTGCCCCGTAGTGCATTTTTTCATATGACTAGAGATGGTTTTAATTTCTTCATCTGAAAATTGCCTGTTCATATTCTTTGACCATTTATCAATTGGGGACTTACATCCTATTTTCTAATGGCCTTTTCCCAGTCCTCATCCTTTTTGACCTCTCTGCAACCTTTTGACACAGTTGATTTTCTCTTCTTGATAACTCTCTTCTCTCCAGGTTTTTGAGGCATCACTCTGTCCTGGTTTTCCTCCAACCTGATTGTTCCTTCTTGGTCCATTTGGCTGGGCTATCCTCCAGGCCTCAGCGAGTAACCATGGGTGTCCTTTGAGGCTCTGTCCTGTGCCCTCTTCTCTTTTCTCTCTATACTGTTTTGCTTGGTGATCTCATCAACTGTCATGGATTCAATGATAATAATGATAATATGATCAGTTTGATTTAACCAGCCCTAACTGATGTCCAGTCTCACATCTCCAACAGCCTATTAGATATCTCAACCTGGATGTCCCACAGACATCTTCAACTCAACATGTCCCAAACTTATCTCCTTTTTCCCTCTAAGCCCTCCTCTTCCCAACTTCCCTATGATTGTTGAGGATACCATCATCCTCCTAGTCACCTAGGCTTGAAACCTAGATGCTCCATCACTCTCTCTCCTCCCCAGCATCCAGTGTGTTGCCAAGTTCTGTCAATCCTACCTTCACAATATCTTGGGTCTGTGTCTCTTTTCCTCTGTTACTGCTCCCACCATGGTGCAGCCCCTCATCACTTCATGCCTGGACTATTATAATAGCTTGCTGGTTGATCTCCCCATCTCAAATCTCTTCCCCACTCTATGCCATTCCCCACTCAGTTGTCAAAGTGATCTTAAGGGCAGCTAGATGGTACAGTGGATAGAATGCCAGGCTTGAAGTCAGGAAGACCTGAGTTCAAACCCTGCCTCAGACACTTACTAGCTGTGAGACCCTGGGCAAGTCACTTCACCCTATTTGCCTGAGTTTCATCATGTGTAAAATGAGCTAGAGAAGGAAAATGGCAAACTACTCTAATGTCTTTGCCAAGAAAACCCAAATGGGGTCATAAAGACTCAGACACCACAGATACAAATGAACAACAACAGCAAAGTGTCTGAG